TTGTAAGAAGCAGTATTTTTTTTCAATTAATGTAACAGAAAAAATTCGATTTAATTTCAAAAAGATAATTTCAAAAAAAAGTAAAAAACACTGAATTTCAAAATACCCTATGCTGCATCAAATTTTATACAGCAGAAAAAAAATAAGAAAGATTTCTATGAAGCAGCAGAACTCCGCTTTAATAGCAGAATTTTACTCGGCCTGTTTTCGAATAGCAATACCGCAATGACATGAGAAGCCGTGCTTCAGCTAATTCTAAAGCTCTTTTTTTTAGTTAGATCAGTATCACTAGGACTTAAATTCATCTAATTGCGTCAAAAATAGTCCTTTACGAAAATTTCTTTTTGAATCAGCTCTCAGATGATATGACCTGGTCAAGAAAAGCTAGAAACTCAAATAAAAACGTATCAGTCTTAATACTGTCTGCTGAAAGAGTTAAGTAACTTTTTCTCAATTTTCTGTTTGTCTAATATTGATCACTTTTTGAAGTTCAGCTAAATGTTTTGTTACAAGACTTTGAAATGTGTTCGAAACTCTTTCTGCCTTTTTTTGTAAGTCGAAACCAGACTGTTCCGGTCAGGGCGAAGTTTTGAATGCTCTGACGACACTTTAAGGCCCATGGAGCAGTGTTTGCTTTAAAAAATATTGATGAATTTTCAGAAAACGTTTTTTTTGTTAACCAATTTCGAACAATTTTTGAGACGGATCAAATCTCCCGCACTCATTAAAAGAGTTGATGAACTTATATATGTAAGCCTTGTGATCGATCTCGATGAAATTCATAAAACAAGCATTATAATTGATCAAAAAGATATTAATATATTAATGTTTTTCATTTTACTTAATCCTTTCAATCAGTTTTAATAATTTTTTTATTTATTCTATTTCATTTTTTCGATAAATTTCTTTGAATTATTATCGATTTTAATTGATTTTTTTTCTACTAATTTTTAATTTTTTGCATTTAAACTGTTTATAGTTTAGGCGTTTCGTAGACGTTGGGTTATATAAAAGTTTGATAAAAACATATCAGCAGTCGTATAATTAATTCAATATTTTATTTTTTATCCATTTTTTATCCATCAAAGTTTGCTTAAGATAAAATCTTTTCTTAACCACCAAGATATTAGGTCATTGTTTTATTCTGATGATTAATTCGGCTTAAGTATCCCGCCAACCGGGGAAAACTTTCAGCTAATATAAAACATTTTCGCGGTAAAATGTTGTGTTCGATATCGTACGTTCAAAGGTTGTCGTAAAAAAAACTCAAGCTATTACAAGTTTTATTTGTGTTGTCAATGTTTTGGCAAAATAGGAGATTATAATTAATTGTAATCATTTTTCGGGATATTCTCCGAAATTGATAAATGATTATACTTGATCATAATCAATTTCAATTTCTCGGAAAATGTTGGTAACAATAATTATTTAGAGCTTTTTTATGAAATTACAGTTAAAATTGTTTGATCCCCATTGTTTGCTGTTTTTAGTGATTGCGAGCTCCGCTTACGCGTCAACAGCGCAAAAAAATTGGGCGTTAAATGTCTCAAAATTATCATATTGAAAATCTTCAAGTCATTTTTACAATTAAGTTTTTTTATAATTGAAATTTAAAAAACCGTTGCGAAGCGTAGAAGTTGGATCTTTGACTAACTTGTTGAACTTTGTCTATATTTTTGCCCTAATAAACATGTTTACTTAAATGCTTAACTTTTTTGTACTTCAAAAGTTTGATCTATTGCATGGTTGTTCGTTATTTTTCCATTACATAAAATCATTTCAGAGAATTCATTGTTTCGAAGTTATTTTTTTTGGCTCAGAGATTTAACATTAGTAGATAATTGTTCATCTGTTTGAGTAGTCATTAGTTTTGCAAAGGCTAGGCTTACTACTCTTTACACTACGCAGACGTAAACAAAGATTACCACGCTTACTACGCAGACGTAAACATTCGGAAAGATATAACTTTGGTAAAAAAAGAAGAAAAAAAACTATTTTTTATTTCGAATATGTGTCGTAATTTTGTGTATTTTGGAAGAAAAAATAACCGTAGACGTAACTTTTGCAAAAAAGATGACAAATAAGATAGAGAAAATAGGTATCCATGTCAAATTAACTGGTAAAAACTTATTTTCAAAATAATTTTTGTTTTAGAAGCAAGTAGTGTACTTACATCCAATAAAACAAACTGTTCAAAATTAATTTTATCGAGGCAATAGACAAATTTGTTCGCAAAGTACGCTAAAAATCCAATTTCTACTGTTCGCTATGTAATGGTTCTCCAAGCTAACGGCCTATTTGGGATCAATTGAGCAACCCTCTTGCACAAAAATTTCAAAAAAAAAAACTTTTTTTTTGAAATTCCTGTTTTTTTTTCTTATTTAAAATTTTTCCTCGATATCTCAAAAAAAATCCAGTAGGTCTTTTCCTTGAGCAATATGAACATATCAACCATCTGCTTGCTTTTTAAATGTCTTTTATTGTTTTATCGTTTTTGCTGGGGGTATAGCTCAATTGTTCATTACGGTGGAAGATTGCTCAATTGATACTTTACTTGTCTTGTTTTTCAGCCTATTCATGTGAGAAACCCCAAATTCAGGAAAAATTTCGACATTTTTTCAAACTATATTGCTCAACCTTAATTGGCGGCCATCGCTCAAGGGTGGCTGGAACACGCCTAACTAGTCGGTTGAACTTTCGCTCAAGGATCGTTGGAACACGCCTAGCCAAACGGTTGAAAGCTCAATTTGTCTAACTCTCATGGAGGTTCCATGGTTAATAATCATTAAAAATGGATTTTCATGATCTGTCCTCAAAAATTCTAAAATAATTGATCATAATGAATAAATAATTGATCAAAAAACAAACAAGGTTCGCCGGTTGCTCTGCAAATATTCCGACCTTAGTCTTGAAACAAAACAACAAAAATGTTTTTTTTTTCAAATTATTGTTTTTTCTTCTGTGCTGTGGGATAAAACATCTGAACAAAAAACTAGACTTTAGGCATTATTTACAATCCATATCATAGTAAAAAAAACAAGTCGGAAAAAAGTTTTTGTAAAAAAAATGACAAGAAAAGCAAATTAAAAGCAAAAAACATTCGGTAATTTTTTCAAATTTTTGCAGTTTTTAAAAAAAGGCGCTGAAAAACTCCAAAACTCTAACTTAAGTTGTATAAAAATAGGCTGTTACTGCTTAAACTAAGCAATTTTTTATTTTTAAGCTATTAAAATAAACTATTAAAAGCCTGATCGCCATTAAATTAGACGAAAAATCAAAACTTTCAAACCGGTTTTTTCAACTCGGAGAAAGTTTTTGAAAATTTTTAATGTTGTTTGAACTCAGCTGGAAGGCCTCCAGAATGATATAATACTCAACTCTCTTGATTATGATTCATTTTAGATGATTTTGCGTTGAAAGAAAAAAAGCGGAAAAAATGAAAAAAAAGTAGAAGGGTCAAAACAAAAAAATTAATTATAATGTATTGAAAATTGATTATAAAATAAACAAAGATAGCCGTTTGCTGTGCAGGTAGCACCGAATGTTCCGACAATAGTCATAAAAAAATGTTCTAAAATTAACCAAAGTAACTAGCCTTAAGTCAAGTATTTATTTTAGTCGAGTTAAATTTAATTTTCACTGCGTTATTGAAACACTTAAAAGCTTCTAGGCCATTGAAATAAAGTATTGTAAGCCTGATGGCTATCTCGAAATTAGACCAAAAGTCAAAAAATTCAAAACGGTTTGTTTCAACACTGGGAATATTTTTTGAAGATTTTCGAATGTTATTCGAATCGCGACTGAAATGCCTTCAAATTATTATATCACTCAGCTCTCGCTGATGAATATTTGTGAAAGCTATTTTTGCGTGAAAAAAAAGAAAAGAAAAGGAAAGAAAAGCAGGAACACAACCGAATACAAAATTCCCCCACCTCGGGGTAGGATAGGCGGGTTAGAGGGGAGGTGATGATGGTAGGTGGGTTGGGGTATGAGTTGTGGTGAGTTGGGGTGAGGGTATGTTTGGCGTATAAATGTGGGGGATGGGAGATGAGCGTGTTCAACTTGGGTGTTAAAACTGAGGAGAACTGGGTGTAATGTATGAGAGAAACGGTTTTAGAAAATAGACTATATGTCACTAAGTTTAGAAATCAATTAAGCTGTGAGTAATGCAGAAAAAGCTGCAAATTTTCCAGAAAATTTGGAATTTTTTCACAGAGATTATAATCCATTATAATCCAAAATAATCCGCTATAATGCATTGCAGTGGAATTTAAATGGAATAAAATTGATTCATTTTCTTAAAAAAGATGGAATTTAATGGATTATAGTCGATTATGTGGTCCCAAAATTTAGTTGTAATTGATTGTAATTGCAACTTTTTTGACCACGAATTTTGACCACGAAAATCGATTGTAATCGACTACTATCTATGGAACCTCACTGCGGGTAAGATTGCTTTAAAAGCAGAACGCAATTGGTTTTTATGACAGAAACCGGCTCAATTAACTCTTTGTCCTGTGTTTCACTAAGACAATCATTTCTCTAAAAACTTTTTGTGTTCTCGTGACCCTCTGTGCTGTTTGTACTTCAGTCAGCTTTTCTTGTTTCCTTCTCGTGAAGAACGCTACTTTGCCGATAGACCTTTCTTTCGAAAATTTTGGAAGTCTTGTGGTTGTCAGGCTAAAAACATGAACTTAAAAGCCATAAAGACCAAGTTGGTCAACGGTTTTCCGGTGAAATTTCTGACTTTTGAGGTGACAGCTTCAAAATGTGCCTTGTGACTTGTAAATCAGTGTTTGCCGATGAATTTGGTCGCTTCATGCGCCGGCTTAGAAAGTCTATTTTCATTTTTTAAAACTGAAGTGGCTCCAGTCATAGAGATGTAGCCGCTTAAATGTTTTACTCTTGTACCAAATATAAACTAAACTCGAGTGGTGCGAATATGGTAAGAATGCTAAGCTTTTTTTTTGCAAAACTTGCCATTTTTTGCAAAATGTACACTGTAATTTGACAACAGACCGATAGCAAATGTTGCTCGTTTTAACCATTTGTAGTTTAAACGTGATACACTTAGTTATACATAAGTAAATTCTTTTATGGCCGACCGTTCAAAAGTAACAGTTTTTTCAGTTTTAACATTTTTAGTTTATGTTTGCTTGCAGTAAACAGTAAATTTATTTCTTCCAAGTTGGATAATTAAAAAGTTGCATTACTTTTGACAAAATAGTGCTTTTGAACGGTTTTGCGCTCACTGATATTTCGCAACAGATCCTTTTTTAATTTACAAAAAGTGAAAAGTGCAGTTTCCAGTAATTCTATTCTTTGAATGCGAAAACTTTTCCCTTGTATTTTACTTTGTGATTTCAACCATCGAAGCATCTTCAGTTGCATAAAACTGCGCCGCCATTTTTAGCTTATGAATTACTTGTTAGCACCATGGTATATTAAAAAGTAGGAAATAAATTAGACTCTGGTTAAATTACTGGATCTCAAATCGACAACAGATGGTCTTTGCAGATAAAACATTATAAAAATACAGTCTCAATATTGATTCAACAGTCAGTAAAAAAAACGGATATATTGCAAAAAATGTATGTACCGAACTTGAACTTTTGCAGAAGCCAAAAACTCGACCTTAACATTTTGAGAAAATTCGCCCCTATCCATTATAGTTTCTCTACTTCGTAGATTCATTTCAAGGTTTCAATTTTACTCCTGATAAATTATTGGCTGTATCGTCAGTTAAATTTCAAAATTAAAAGGTGTTTTTATTTTCAAATGTTATAATTGATTTTCAGAAGTTCGCGCTTTTCTGACTGCTTAATGCGCTTTTAGTCCTTAAGTTACGTCAGCAGAAATAACAAAAATTAATTCCATCCTTCCCATCCTTCCCAACTCAAACTGAGCGTCACAAATTTTCAATCACCATTTACCTTTTCTCTCGCCCACTAATTGGAGTTTATCTTCAAAAACTTATATCAGGAATATTCAAAGAAACTTGTTTCGGTATTTGTTAGTACAACTATTCGTTGAAACATCATAGTGTTGCAGAAAATGAAACTATTTACTGGTAAAAAGTAAGTTAATGTCAACTAAAATGTCAGTTAAGCCTCCTCTGAGAAGAGCTTCGTCCTCAAACGCCCCTTCGGAAAACAACACTATGACTTCGTCATCGCATCTTCATAAAATGAACTCTCTCCAAAACCCAGGCCCATCTGACGACCCAGATCACGATTACCTTCTGGACCAATCATCTCTCACTTTCACAGAAGATTACTCCGCCTCTAGTTTTTTATCCAGTTCCTTACGAGCGGACGGAGGAACTCTAGAAACGTTGACTCCAAGTCGGAACCGTTTGACAGAACCTGATTTGATGACATACCACAAAAAGTCATATCACAAATGCAATGCAGAAAACCGAGACCCGAGATGTGTGTGCAGTGCCAAGCTGGGTCTCGACTTCCCAAACCTGCCGGATGATGTTTTCCACGACTCCAATCCAGCCACAGACTCCGAAACAGTTCACGGCGACAGAATTTCTTTAAATGCAAATATTTCACCAGAAAATAGTCTGAACCGCAGTCTTAATTTATCCGGCGACCAGAACCAAACTTTGAAATTTACCTTGACCCTGGACCTCCCCACAACTCCTGATGAACCAATTTTTCCAAAACATCCAGAAGACGCCGCTTCGAGCCTCGAACACGACGGGTCACGTCGGTCAAGTATAACTTCGGTCTCCTCTGAGCCTAAGGACGCAATCGGAACGCAATTTGGAGGCGCCGCCGACAGCGGAGTCGGAAGCTCGCGTTCGGGTAAATTCGAAAGTGCCGAGTATCACGACGGCACTGCGTTGACTTCTATTTTACCGACGACTCCTCGTGAGCTGTCAGGTGACGTTTTCTCGCCTCTATTTTCCCCTAAAAGCAGCTGCGACTCCGACCCCGAGGAATCAAACAGTCATCATTGGGCTTATAAGCCAAAGAGGCGAACTCTATCCGACTCTGAAAGTTCTTGGAGTTCAAGCTTCAGCTCAAACGGGTACCTGAACGAACTGGTAGCCGAATGCGAACGATTCATGAAAGTGTTTGTGACGAAAATATTCAGCCCCGAGTGAGTAATGTTTCTACTTATAGAATTGACTATTTATGATGTTATGATTTAAGTATGAGGTGTTTGCAACAGTGATACGTAATCATAAATGTCGTATTCGTAATTGATATTACGAATAAGCATTTATTATTACGTTACGTATCACTGTTTTAATCACCTCATACTTAAATTTATTGTCTGAATTTTTTAACAATGGCGCCAAAAATGTGTTCATAAAAAGGCAGGTGTCATAAAGTTTTACATCATTGATTTTTACGATATCTTATCTTTTCTGGCTAATCACTTTTAAGCTCGATTAGACAGTAAATATGCTAGACTAATAGCTTGTTTTCAAATTCAAATGTTCAGACAGCCAACGCCTTTTAAGTTTCGTAGCAAGTAGTCTAGCAAATAAAAAATAGAGTTGCCTTGCAATTATTCGTTCCCATGTGAAGTCTGATAGGCCAAACTCTACCTACCATTAAGGTCCTATTTCAAACTTTTGTAGAAAAAGTCTTTCTTTAGAGGATTTTTGGTTGATTTGAACAGTTTTTTTGCTATTTTTTATTTTCATGAGCAGTGACGAATCTTATCAAAGTTTGATGTTTTTGTTCAGACTTTCGATACGAAAGTACCGGAATATTTGTGCTCGGGGTGGTTTTTTTCAGGCAAATTCCAACTTTTTAACTAGCCATTTCAGACGATATTTTTTATATCATTTAAAAGGTATTGTTGTCCTGAGTTTAAACTTGGCAAGATATTTCACCTGTGATTATTTTTTGTATAGTTATGGGGGTTTAAAGATTGCCATTTTGGCCAATTTGGGACAAATAACGCGCGACATATTTCGCGCTATTAACGCATAAGCGAGGTTTAATCTATCTTAGAAATTGTTCCAAATTGGTTGAAAGTAGCTTATTTCCATTAATTAATTTGTTACAAGGAGCGAAATCTATCCTTTTGTACCCGCACTGACAGAAATGGTCTCCGGTCGATTTAAATTGATTTTAAATTGATTTTAAATCGATCCAAACCGATTAACCATGTACATTTTACGAACTTAAATGGATTTTAAATCGATTTAAATCGATCTTTTTGAAAATTTTAAATCGATTTAAGTGTCTAAAAAATCGATTCAAATCGATTTCGATTGATTTTCTGACTCACTACAACCCATCCGAATCTCACTTAAATCCATCAGAATCTCACTTAAACCCATTTTAAATCAATTTAAATTGATCTTTTTGAAAATTTAAATCGATTTAAGTGTCTAAAAAATCGAAATATATCGATTTCGATGGATTTTCCGACGCACTAAAATAGATTTTTTTGCTAACTAGGCGAAAAAAAACATACCCTTTGAAAAATTGTTGGAAATTTTTATTCTCGATTTTTAAATGTAAACACTCGTGCCAGATATTATAGAATTCAATAAAAGTATCCACATAAATCATTTTCAAGCACGAAAAAAAGCAATGAAATTATAGAAATTTGTTGTAAAACAGATTTTGCAAAATCCTTTGAAACAAACAAGAATTAAAATTTGATATCGTTAATATGCAATTATATCATAGAAAGATAAGAAAATGAATCAGATTTTTGGCAAAACTTATAAAACGAATCAAGAAAAGGGTCAATATAGATCAGTTTTTGAACTCAAAATATGCAAGAAAATCAGAGAATTTTATCGATATTTTGGTCTTTTTATTTGGTTTTTTTTATGTTACAATACGCTATGGATGTAAAACGAAAAATGATAGGCAATGAATAAATGCAATAGAATTTCAAAACTGATAAATCTCAAAAAAAATCGATATAAATCGATTTAAATCCGTTTTAATCCCCTTAAAATTAAAAACAAAATCAGACTGGAAAAATGCATTTAAATTGATTTAAAATCGATTCGGATTAATTTTTTTTAGCTGGATTTAAGATCAATTTGAATCGATTTTAAACCGATCCAAATCAATCGTCATCTTTTTCGTTTTATCTTCGTACTTGTTTCATACTAAAATCGATCTAAAAATAATCAACGAACTTTTTTCCTACTAAAATCGATCTGAATTTAATCAACGTACTTTTTTTCATACTAAAATCGATCCTAATCCTTTTTTGTCAGTGCGGGTACTTTATATAGCGTGCGGGGTGATGATTTTCATAAAAAGTTTCAAACTTTAATTTTACATTTAATTTTTTTAAGGTTATTACTGCTCCATAAACTTTTAAAGGCAGTCGGAACATTCAGGGCTTAGCCCTGATACGATTAGTCTTGTTTTAGTTTAAGTCGAAAATATCAAAAAATTAAAAATTAGTTACTTATATTATAAGAAAAGAAATAAAAAGCATTTTTAAACAGAAAAATAAACACGTCCTGAATGTTCTAACTGCCTTGTAAGGTCTATGGAGCAATAACAACAAAAAAATTTGAGATTTTTTTGTGAAAATATCTGCCCACACGCCATATTAAGGACAAAGTGATAGATTTTGCTCCTATTAACAAATCATATATGGCATATAATCTTCCTTGAACCAATTTTGAACGATTTTTAAGACTGATTAAATCTCGCTTACGCGTTAATAGCGCGAAACATATCGCGCGTTAAATGTCCCAAAGTGGCCGAAATGGGCAAAATGGCAAACTTTAACTACCATAACTTTACAAAAAATGATCACAGGTGAAATTGTTTTTCAAATTTAAGCTCAGGACAACAATAGCTTTCGAATGATATAAAAAAATTTTCGTCAAAAATGACTGGTTAAAAAGTCGAAATTTGTCTGAAGAAAAACCCACCCCGAGCACAAATATTCCGTTACTTTCGTTGCGAAAGTCGGAACAAAAAGAACTATTCAGATTGTTCATATAGAATTTTGATCTAGTTGCGAGACTTTTGTAGGGTATGGTGAGCACGAACCAAATTCTCACGAACTATTTTCCATTAAAATATAGTTTTCCATTAAAACAAGATCAGCTGCGGTTTGTTTTGCAAGCAGCAGATGATTTTCCAAAATAACAGAAATATTCCATCGTCGTCGACGATGTTTATTGGAGCTCAAATGACGTCTGAAAGTACAGTGCTGATTTAAATTAACCGGACAAAACGTGTTAAACTTGAAATTTAAAACGCGTTTTTCTCAAATTGGGTTGAGTTTAGGAGAAAAATTATGAGGACAACACTTGCTTAAAATTTCAGCAGAATTATTATGGTGTAATTTGTTTTGCGAAATTCGGGCCCAAAATTTTACCCCAAAAATGAGTCATTTTGGCTTTTCTTAGTTAATTAAAAATTACGCCAAAAGTACCCATTCGATCACAGCCATAATTATATCAAAGTGAGCCCCTTACGTAGCCCAATAAACTTTAAGAAGGGTATATTCTCCAAAACATTGTATAAATTAATTTATTTTTGCTTGATAGACAAAAAAGGTCGTTTTTACTATATAAAATACCAATTTTTTATTTAAAAACAATTTTTAAACGGTTTGCATTTTTTTTTCAAGTTTAACACGTTTTGTCCGGTTAATTTAAATCAGCACTGTACTTCATTGTGGTAAATCACTCTAGCTCGTTTGACCAATATTTATGGTTGCAAAGTTTGCGTCAGAAAACAAGTGAATGAAAAGCTGAAAAGTGAAAAGTGCAGTTTCCAGTAATTCTATTCTTTGAATGCGAAAACTTTTCCCTTGTATTTTACTTTGTGATTTCAACCATCGAAGCATCTTCAGTTGCATAAAACTGCGCCGCCATTTTTAGCTTATGAATTACTTGTTAGCACCATGGTATATTAAAAAGTAGGAAATAAATTAGACTCTGGTTAAATTACTGGATCTCAAATCGACAACAGATGGTCTTTGCAGATAAAACATTATAAAAATACAGTCTCAATATTGATTCAACAGTCAGTAAAAAAAACGGATATATTGCAAAAAATGTATGTACCGAACTTGAACTTTTGCAGAAGCCAAAAACTCGACCTTAACATTTTGAGAAAATTCGCCCCTATCCATTATAGTTTCTCTACTTCGTAGATTCATTTCAAGGTTTCAATTTTACTCCTGATAAATTATTGGCTGTATCGTCAGTTAAATTTCAAAATTAAAAGGTGTTTTTATTTTCAAATGTTATAATTGATTTTCAGAAGTTCGCGCTTTTCTGACTGCTTAATGCGCTTTTAGTCCTTAAGTTACGTCAGCAGAAATAACAAAAATTAATTCCATCCTTCCCATCCTTCCCAACTCAAACTGAGCGTCACAAATTTTCAATCACCATTTACCTTTTCTCTCGCCCACTAATTGGAGTTTATCTTCAAAAACTTATATCAGGAATATTCAAAGAAACTTGTTTCGGTATTTGTTAGTACAACTATTCGTTGAAACATCATAGTGTTGCAGAAAATGAAACTATTTACTGGTAAAAAGTAAGTTAATGTCAACTAAAATGTCAGTTAAGCCTCCTCTGAGAAGAGCTTCGTCCTCAAACGCCCCTTCGGAAAACAACACTATGACTTCGTCATCGCATCTTCATAAAATGAACTCTCTCCAAAACCCAGGCCCATCTGACGACCCAGATCACGATTACCTTCTGGACCAATCATCTCTCACTTTCACAGAAGATTACTCCGCCTCTAGTTTTTTATCCAGTTCCTTACGAGCGGACGGAGGAACTCTAGAAACGTTGACTCCAAGTCGGAACCGTTTGACAGAACCTGATTTGATGACATACCACAAAAAGTCATATCACAAATGCAATGCAGAAAACCGAGACCCGAAATGTGTGTGCAGTGCCAAGCTGGGTCTCGACTTCCCAAACCTGCCGGATGATGTTTTCCACGACTCCAATCCAGCCACAGACTCCGAAACAGTTCACGGCGACAGAATTTCTTTAAATGCAAATATTTCACCAGAAAATAGTCTGAACCGCAGTCTTAATTTATCCGGCGACCAGAACCAAACTTTGAAATTTACCTTGACCCTGGACCTCCCCACAACTCCTGATGAACCAATTTTTCCAAAACATCCAGAAGACGCCGCTTCGAGCCTCGAACACGACGGGTCACGTCGGTCAAGTATAACTTCGGTCTCCTCTGAGCCTAAGGACGCAATCGGAACGCAATTTGGAGGCGCCGCCGACAGCGGAGTCGGAAGCTCGCGTTCGGGTAAATTCGAAAGTGCCGAGTATCACGACGGCACTGCGTTGACTTCTATTTTACCGACGACTCCTCGTGAGCTGTCAGGTGACGTTTTCTCGCCTCTATTTTCCCCTAAAAGCAGCTGCGACTCCGACCCCGAGGAATCAAACAGTCATCATTGGGCTTATAAGCCAAAGAGGCGAACTCTATCCGACTCTGAAAGTTCTTGGAGTTCAAGCTTCAGCTCAAACGGGTACCTGAACGAACTGGTAGCCGAATGCGAACGATTCATGAAAGTGTTTGTGACGAAAATATTCAGCCCCGAGTGATTAATGTTTCTACTTATAGAATTGACTATTTATGATGTTATGATTTAAGTATGAGGTGTTTGCAACAGTGATACGTAATCATAAATGTCGTATTCGTAATTGATATTACGAATAAGCATTTATTATTACGTTACGTATCACTGTTTTAATCACCTCATACTTAAATTTATTGTCTGAATTTTTTAACAATGGCGCCAAAAATGTGTTCATAAAAAGGCAGGTGTCATAAAGTTTTACATCATTGATTTTTACGATATCTTATCTTTTCTGGCTAATCACTTTTAAGCTCGATTAGACAGTAAATATGCTAGACTAATAGCTTGTTTTCAAATTCAAATGTTCAGACAGCCAACGCCTTTTAAGTTTCGTAGCAAGTAGTCTAGCAAATAAAAAATAGAGTTGCCTTGCAATTATTCGTTCCCATGTGAAGTCTGATAGGCCAAACTCTACCTACCATTAAGGTCCTATTTCAAACTTTTGTAGAAAAAGTCTTTCTTTAGAGGATTTTTGGTTGATTTGAACAGTTTTTTTGCTATTTTTTATTTTCATGAGCAGTGACGAATCTTATCAAAGTTTGATGTTTTTGTTCAGACTTTCGATACGAAAGTACCGGAATATTTGTGCTCGGGGTGGTTTTTTTCAGGCAAATTCCAACTTTTTAACTAGCCATTTCAGACGATATTTTTTATATCATTTAAAAGGTATTGTTGTCCTGAGTTTAAACTTGGCAAGATATTTCACCTGTGATTATTTTTTGTATAGTTATGGGGGTTTAAAGATTGCCATTTTGGCCAATTTGGGACAAATAACGCGCGACATATTTCGCGCTATTAACGCATAAGCGAGGTTTAATCTATCTTAGAAATTGTTCCAAATTGGTTGAAAGTAGCTTATTTCCATTAATTAATTTGTTACAAGGAGCGAAATCTATCCTTTTGTACCCGCACTGACAGAAATGGTCTCCGGTCGATTTAAATTGATTTTAAATTGATTTTAAATCGATCCAAACCGATTAACCATGTACATTTTACGAACTTAAATGGATTTTAAATCGATTTAAATCGATCTTTTTGAAAATTTTAAATCGATTTAAGTGTCTAAAAAATCGATTCAAATCGATTTCGATTGATTTTCTGACTCACTACAACCCATCCGAATCTCACTTAAATCCATCAGAATCTCACTTAAACCCATTTTAAATCAATTTAAATTGATCTTTTTGAAAATTTAAATCGATTTAAGTGTCTAAAAAATCGAAATATATCGATTTCGATGGATTTTCCGACGCACTAAAATAGATTTTTTTGCTAACTAGGCGAAAAAAAACATACCCTTTGAAAAATTGTTGGAAATTTTTATTCTCGATTTTTAAATGTAAACACTCGTGCCAGATATTATAGAATTCAATAAAAGTATCCACATAAATCATTTTCAAGCACGAAAAAAAGCAATGAAATTATAGAAATTTGTTGTAAAACAGATTTTGCAAAATCCTTTGAAACAAACAAGAATTAAAATTTGATATCGTTAATATGCAATTATATCATAGAAAGATAAGAAAATGAATCAGATTTTTGGCAAAACTTATAAAACGAATCAAGAAAAGGGTCAATATAGATCAGTTTTTGAACTCAAAATATGCAAGAAAATCAGAGAATTTTATCGATATTTTGGTCTTTTTATTTGGTTTTTTTTATGTTACAATACGCTATGGATGTAAAACGAAAAATGATAGGCAATGAATAAATGCAATAGAATTTCAAAACTGATAAATCTCAAAAAAAATCGATATAAATCGATTTAAATCCGTTTTAATCCCCTTAAAATTAAAAACAAAATCAGACTGGAAAAATGCATTTAAATTGATTTAAAATCGATTCGGATTAATTTTTTTTAGCTGGATTTAAGATCAATTTGAATCGATTTTAAATCGATCCAAATCAATCGTCATCTTTTTCGTTTTATCTTCGTACTTGTTTCATACTAAAATCGATCTAAAAATAATCAACGAACTTTTTTCCTACTAAAATCGATCTGAATTTAATCAACGTACTTTTTTTCATACTAAAATCGATCCTAATCCTTTTTTGTCAGTGCGGGTACTTTATATAGCGTGCGGGGTGATGATTTTCATAAAAAGTTTCAAACTTTAATATTACATTTAATTTTTTTAAGGTTATTACTGCTCCATAAACTTTTAAAGGCAGTCGGAACATTCAGGGCTTAGCCCTGATACGATTAGTCTTGTTTCAGTTTAAGTCGAAAATATCAAAAAATTAAAAATTAGTTACTTATATTATAAGAAAAGAAATAAAAAGCATTTTTAAACAGAAAAATAAACACGTCCTGAATGTTCTAACTGCCTTGTAAGGTCTATGGAGCAATAACAACAAAAAAATTTGAGATTTTTTTTGTGAAAATATCTGCCCACACGCCATATTAAGGACAAAGTGATAGATTTTGCTCCTATTAACAAATCATATATGGCATATAATCTTCCTTGAACCAATTTTGAACGATTTTTAAGACTGATTAAATCTCGCTTACGCGTTAATAGCGCGAAACATATCGCGCGTTAAATGTCCCAAAGTGGCCGAAATGGGCAAAATGGCAAACTTTAACTACCATAACTTTACAAAAAATGATCACAGGTGAAATTGTTTTTCAAATTTAAGCTCAGGACAACAATAGCTTTCGAATGATATAAAAAAATTTTCGTCAAAAATGACTGGTTAAAAAGTCGAAATTTGTCTGAAGAAAAACCCACCCCGAGCACAAATATTCCGTTACTTTCGTTGCGAAAGTCGGAACAAAAAGAACTATTCAGATTGTTCATATAGAATTTTGATCTAGTTGCGAGACTTTTGTAGGGTATGGTGAGCACGAACCAAATTCTCACGAACTATTTTCCATTAAAATATAGTTTTCCATTAAAACAAGATCAGCTGCGGTTTGTTTTGCAAGCAGCAGATGATTTTCCAAAATAACAGAAATATTCCATCGTCGTCGACGATGTTTATTGGAGCTCAAATGACGTCTGAAAGTACAGTGCTGATTTAAATTAACCGGACAAAACGTGTTAAACTTGAAATTTAAAACGCGTTTTTCTCAAATTGGGTTGAGTTTAGGAGAAAAATTATGAGGACAAAACTTGCTTAAAATTTTAGCAGAATTATTATGGTGTAATTTGTTTTGCGAAATTCGGGCCCAAAATTTTACCCCAAAAATGAGTCATTTTGGCTTTTCTTAGTTAATTAAAAATTACGCCAAAAGTACCCATTCGATCACAGCCATAATTATATCAAAGTGAGCCCCTTACGTAGCCCAATAAACTTTAAGAAGGGTATATTCTCCAAAACATTGTATAAATTAATTTATTTTTGCTTGATAGACAAAAAAGGTCGTTTTTACTATATAAAATACCAATTTTTTATTTAAAAACAATTTTTAAACGGTTTGCATTTTTTTTTCAAGTTTAACACGTTTTGTCCGGTTAATTTAAATCAGCACTGTACTTCATTGTGGTAAATCACTCTAGCTCGTTTGACCAATATTTATGGTTGCAAAGTTTGCGTCAGAAAACAAGTGAATGAAAAGCTATTCGATCAGTTTTAAACAACGATATCCGTACGTTGAAGAAAAAAGATCAAGCATGCATTCTAAATTTGTTCTCTGAATTTTGGTTTGTTTTTTTTAGCTTGTGTGAGCTAGTTGAAAAGTTGTACGAAATTATTAATAAAAGCTAAAATGAAGTAAAATTCAAAAATTCGAATTTGTCAGTTTTGCTGTAGTTTTTTTACAAAAATAAATATAAAAAAAAATCAAATCACTTTCTGGCGACACTCAATCAGATTATTTAGATTTTAGTGTCGGTTTAGTTTGGTTTGAAATATCTAAAATCGGAGTAGAAAAAACCCTGCAATTTTTCCTCAGTTCCCAGGTCTTTCACCAAAGTCGCTGTCTATTCTTTATGAAGAAAATTAGAGAAAAAGGTACTTTATATTAGCAATTACAGGCCGTTAACCCTATTTATAGCACGGAAAAGAACCTTCGAACGTGCAACATTGAACATACTATATGTTTACCTGGCTGTGGTATAGTAGCTGCAGCTGCAACCACATTACATTAACCTTGAGGGAGTGACTATGTTATGTATGTATGTATTTATAGGTTTAGTACTATTTCAAGGTCAGTATCTGTCGACCTAAATCTGCACATAAAAAGAGCAGGTTACCGTACTACGCTATGGAGCTCAGTTATCTAGAAAAGAGCGTTAAAACAGAAAACATAAAATACGGTTTCAAGTGAATTAAAAACTTTGAGATCTATCTTTTGTTATACTTACAAAGTCTGGACATCGAGGTATCACATGGCGCAGCCAGCAGGATTTTTGTCCCAAAATAATCGCAAAGACAAGAGAATTCCTGTGTTTTGGACCTCGGCAAATTCAGAGCCACCATGGAATTTTAAAATCTGGTTGGACCAATTTCTCCTAGCTGTTACAGTAAAAGAGAACGTGAATCCGGAAGTGTTGCTTGAGGACCCAAAACCAGTCATAGAAGAACCAATGCCACGGCCAGAGACACCTAGACAAAACGAAACTGAACAAGCTACTACGGATCGGGAAGCGAGGGACAGATCACTAAGGGACAAAGTCGTGTTGGAAAACGAAGAAAGAAAGGAGCGTGGACCAAAAGTGGGACACAACGTGTTCTACAACGAAGTCCGGAAACGCATCGCCTCGAGGCTATTCCTTGCCTTAGGAACGGAGGGGAAAAAAGATTTGTCCAGAAAAATCCTCACACAGAAGTGTCAAAACTAGATTTTAGAGATTTGGTGGCTCTAGCAAAAATCGCATTTGAAAAAACGAAAAGTATAACGTACGAAAGATATAACGTACGAAAGACATCTACTCGTACGTTAAGTATAACGTACGAAAGACATCTACTCACAAGAACACAAGAATCAGGCAAGACGCTGGAATCATTTCATGCTGCTTTAACTGCACAAGCAGCAAAGGCGGAGCTAGGCACATTAGAAGATGAATTAGTTCAGGACCTATTCATTTCCAGAATGAAAAGTGCAGCTCTACAGGATTCATTGACGTTCGAAACTTTTCCCCCGGATGAAGTTTTAAAAAGAGCGATAAAGCTTGAACAAAGCAAATAGACGGCACAAGCATCCCAGAAGTCATACACAAACACTGCAGGTGCAGGAGGTCTAATCGAATGGGATCACAAATAAAAATAAAACAAGAACCCATCATGGAGATCTACCAGAGAGCCATTTAAACGAAAAACATGGTACGCGAAGAGTAACCCCAACAACCGGGCAGATCAGAAAAAATGTACAAGATGCGGCAAATCCTTTGTGGAAAGACATCTACGTAATTGTCCAGCGATGGGTAAGATGTGCAAAGGGTGCCACAAACCGAACCATTTCGCCCGAATGCGCAGATCCCAACAAGTCAACGAAGCGACTGAAGAAACATCCAAGGTATCACACTGGCATTTCGTGCATTAATTTAATCAAAACAGTTTAGTTTTCAAAAAAAACGCTTAAGTTATTGAAAAACTTGATCTGGATAAAAAAAAGTTCCCAAAAGCCACTACTAATTTTTTCGATTCACAAAAAAATATCTATGAAATCGATCAACAGTTTTTTTTTCCGTAGATGGGAAATAAATGGATGTAAGAAAAAATGAAAATTTACTATGGTTTATAAGCCACATGAATAATTACATGCCGTTCAATCTCAATCTGAGCATGAAAGTTTTCTAACCTTGATGAAACATTCATTTTTTCTTCCCGATGATTTGATGGGCAATTTTGACGGGTAAGCTTTTTGTAATTTATCATTAATATGTTGGCGTAAATATATTAGTGACATTAACGGTTATGTTACCGACGCGTATTAAACCTTTTTAGTCGTTTTTCCTTATTCCAAAATTTGATTTAAAAAAAGGTTAAAAAATGATTTAAGCAATTTAAAATCGTTTTGGATCAATTTTTCAGCTCAGGATTAAGATCAACTTAAATAGATTTAAAACTGATCCTAATCGATACTAATTTTTCTGTTTAATCAACGTACTTTGTAAAAACTGTATCGATCTCAATTTAATCTACATAATTTCTCATGCTGAAGTTAATCTCAATTCATATTTGTCAGTGTGATTAGCCTTAATGTTCCGACTTGCGTAACGAAAATAACGAAATATTTGTGCTCGGGGTGGTTGTTTTTGTTCTTCAGACGAATTTCGACTTTTTAACTAGCCATTTTTGACAAAACTTTTGCATATCGTTCGAAAACTATTGTAGTCCTGAGCTTAAATTTGAAGAGATTTTTCACCTGTGATTAATTTTCGTAAAATTATGCGGATTTAAATATTGCCATTTTTGCCTTTTTGGGCCAATTAACGCGCGATGTGTTTCGCGCTATTAACGTGTAATCGAGATTAAATCCGTCTTAGAAATTGTTCAGGTACCTCATATAGAATTCAGATGAGGTCAAATAATTTGTATTATACACTGGTAGCAAAAATGAAGGGATAACGGGTCTTTTCGATAAAATCCCCTTGTATGATAAAAAAATGTTTTTTTTTCTAACAAAATCCGGTCGATATTAATACGAAACGCAAAATAAAACTGATATACAGAGCCTTTAATCGAATCGAACAACTGCAAAAATGGGAAATAAATGGCAGTTCAGAACGAATATATATTCCTGCTTGTGAAATTAAGAAAAGAAAGCGGCAAAAGAAAAACAGGAAAAACGACCTGATTGAAGCTAAGTTTGCTTAAAATCGCTTCGTTTTCGCCTGCTCCATTTTGATAACCAGTATTTTTCAATAATATCAGTCTAAATTTTCAACAAAAATTTTGATCTTGACTTTTCATTATTTAGAGGGGGTAGGAATAACTGAATGAAAAACTCAAAATAAAGGATCAACCGTACATTTCGCCTCCCCCCCCCCCCCCGCCAATTGAGTTAGGGGACAAAAAGCATGAATTTTTCAGAAAATAACTGTGAGTGTACCCTAGATTGATACAAAATTAAATTTTGTTAAAGAAAATCGATTGAAAATACATTATTTAAGGTCATTGACAATATTCGAATTATTGGGAAAACCAATTTTTTTTTGCGTTTTGTTCGAAAAACATAATCATACTTAATCAGTTTTTAGAATTAATAATGGCTCGGAGAAGACATTCTACGGAAGGCCACTTAGAGAAGTAGATTGTGCGGTTGATCCAAAACATGCGATAAATGTTTTTTTAGTGAAGGTAATAAACTGAATCCGGTCAGCTCGCACCACACGCTAAAAGTTTTTTCTCCTAAAACAATCAGACTTTTGAGATTGATTTTTGCAAAAATAGCTCCGATCAAAAGTTTCTCTGCAATTTCCTCATCTGCCAGCGTATATTTTCTGGCTTTAAAATTTTGTGGAGTGGCTATATGTCAACTTTACTTTGAACTATATAAGTAAGTTCTATTATCAAACTGATTAACATTCTGATCCTGTAGTTTTTGAAGTGTGTGTGTTTCACTCCAATAATGTTTTTGCTTACGTCATCATTTTGGTTTTCATTGTTTAGATCAGACATCTCACAAGAGGAAAAGTCACGCTTCGGACAACTTTGCCAAGTAAGTAAACTAAGAAAAATACCAACTGAAATTATACTTGTGGAATTGTTCACGCTTTTGAATTTGCTTTGAAACATAGGCGGCACAAGAAATAAAAACAAACAGATATGCCTCAAAAAACATACCAATAATCAAATAAAACTTCAATACTTGTCTGCCTTAATTGATATTTTCAAAAACAGTTTTTCTGCCATTAAATTCAATATTTGATGGTACTATATGCCACCCGAAAGACCCAAACCCAAACTAGTCATTCTATTCTGCCTTCATTTAAAATTACGTCGTTTGTTTTGAGTTTAACTTAAATTACATCACTTTTGGATTAGACTTGTCTGTTTTTATGAATAAGGAAAGACTTTGTGTCGCCTGAAACGTTTCGAAGTGCTTTTTCTGTACATGTAAGTAAACGTATACCAACACCAACTTTTTGTCCCCGAAAGAAGGCATTTAAAAGCAACTCAAGCAGATCTGAAATCTGTTGCCAATTTGCTTCAGAGATTCCGAAAGGGGAATTCAATTTTCCGCCAAATACTGCAAATATCAAATCGAGTTCCCTTTTGTTGCAGCCAGACTTGCAAACAAAGAGCTTGTCTGAGATGAAATGAAACAAATTTGATTTTTGAAGTTTCGGTAGTTTTGTTCCAAAAAGCCTGCATTATGAAAAAAAATGCCTTTAGTCGTATACCACACATCTCGAACAACAACTTATGAAGTTTTTCCGTGAATGGAAAATTAAACTTATGTTTACGAGTAAAGAATATGTTGTGTGACAAAATTGAGTAAGCAGTTAATTTGGTTGAAAAAACTGTTTTCAACGTGCGATCTCTGATGTTTGCGTGAGAGAAAGAAAATGGAGAGAAACTTTAAGGGAATCTCGTCGGTTTTTAAAAAAGCAACCTACTTGATTTCCGAGCTCACCCTCCCCAAATTCCAAATGAACTGATCACCAAAAGTGTCTGCATCGCCGGCGAGTTTATAAAAAAATGTGTCCTCCAAAAATACTGATGGCCGGCGAGTTTATGTACGCGCTGCATGCAAAATTCTCGATTCTGATTAGCTGAAAATTCTCAACTCTCGACAGGGGCGGATCTAGGATTTTTCGAGGGGGGGGGGGGGGGGGGCGATTTTCTAATTTTTTTTGAAAATTTTATCGACTTCTTAAGGTCGACCAAATTGATTTTCAGAGCCCTCCTAAAGCTCTAAAAAGACACTGTTTGGGCTAAATTTTCTGCGCCGCAGGCAAAGTTTTGAAAAAGCAGTCCAAAAAAAAGGCGTTTTTAGGTACGTTTTGGAAAATTTTGACCGAAAAGTTGCGATTTTTCGGCGCGCGCTTCCCCCTCAAATTAGTGAATGTTGACGCCCAAGGCACCTTTAGAAATTTTTTTAGGGTCCGGCATTGTAGCAGCGGTTTAGATTTAGATGATTTTGTGGACTTATCGATACTTTCCGTTGGTTTCAATATAGTATTTTATTCAATAATAGTGATATAATTGGCCTTTATACTCTTGCTTGATGTTAAGATAGCAGCACTATCAAAAAAGTGCTTGCCTGTTTGACATTTGGCGCAATTTTTGCCATATAAAATTGGTATAAATAAGCGCTTGCGACCAATTGTCTTCGGATTAGCCTTAGGAAGTTTTCGCTAAGAAGAGGCCTGACCTGTGCAATAGTTCGAATATTAATAACTTGGACAACTGAGAGTTGATGATTTTTTAGAATCGGCTGAAAAATTGAAAGCCAAAAAGGCCCAAGTTCTTACCTCAACGACCGTTCTTACAATTAGAGGAGGATATCAAATTTGAACAGATTAAGTTGTGGTATGGATTCCTCGAAGGTATTTTGAAAACATCCTCGCAGTATCATGAAAAACGTTGAAAAAAAGTTACCGCTGAGGACTGAAGACTAAGAGGATACACAGATCAGCTAACAACTAGGCTGATCAAATCTCTCTCTCTCTCTCTTTTTTAAATAACTACTTTTTCTAAATCGTTTTTTCAAAGATTGGAGCAGTATATTCCTTGTGCGAATCAATTCTTAGTGCTTGCATAAAATATAGCAAAACAGATTAAATTGAAACAAGAAAAAATAGTTTTTCAAAATGGTTTAGCAAGGTTACTGATAACGTTTGCGTTTATCAAGTATCATCCAGTTGAATTATTGAGTTTTTGTTGACAAAATGTCTGACAAATATATAATCAGTGTCATTGATTTAGTTATTTTAGCATATCTGACCTTTTCACGACCATTACGTTGAAAGTTTATTTCAAATATTTTTGAGTTTATCAATTCAGATTATGTTAAATGTTGTCTTAAATTTTTTTGTTTCTCGTTCTCCACAGAAAATTGTCGGTTCATTTTGTAGTGGCGCAATTTGCAGTGTTGCGTTCGAACCTCACATTACGTTCTTATAAACTCGTTTTTTTAAATGAGTTCGAGAACATTATGGAACCAGTTTAAAACAAGTATTTATGGAATACCTTGATACTTATCACTGTTAATTATTTAGAACTATACGATAAAATGTAAAGCTGAAACTATTCATAATTTCAGGCAGAGAAAATATACTTCAGATTGTAATCAGTTGCTTCCTTCTCTCTTCTAACATCGCAAGAATACCAGTATATACTAGATCCATTGAGACTAAGAAATATTAGAGAAAGATAAGGATAAGTATTAGACTAAGAAGTTTCACGAATCTATCCGGCCAAAAATAAGATAGCGTGACGAACAGACGGTGAACTTTATCCGAAATTAGTCTATGAGAAAGCCACCTCGGACCTAAACTCAACTAGAGGCCAGCTAAAGCAGGAAACACCTGTTTGATAATTTTTGAATTTTTTAAACTGATGCGTAAGGGAAAGGTAAACTTTCAAAAACTGGACTTCATCCAAAACATCAGTTGGTTCTATAATAAAATAACTAGGAGTGAATTTTTTTAGTTAGATTTGGCAGGATAACTTTCGAGTTTCGAAAACGGTAAAAAAATGTGTTGAGTTTCGGAGCGACATAACTTTTTGTGTATAAAAATTGAGCTAAACTGCTTGTGCAGGCAAAACTCTCACAACCCGTGCTATCCATTGAAACCAAAACCTCAGATTTGGGTGAGTAGTTTTTGAAAAAAACCTAAAAGCTTCAAAAAATAGGTCAAAAGGCGAAATTTCGATTTTCCCGAGGGCGATAACTTTTTGTGCAAAAAAATTGGGCGTCACTGTTTATGCAGGAGAATTTCTCATAACCAATGCTTTCGGTTGAAACTAAAATCTCAGATTTGGGATGGTAGTTTTTGAGAAAAGTCGAAAAGAGTTAAAAAACGGTCAAAAAATCGAAACTTTGACTTTTTCGAGGGCCATAACTTTTTGTGTAAAAAAATTGGACGTAGTCGCAATGCAAAAGTGTTTTCCGCAACATTTTCTTTCCGTTAAACTTAGAATTTTAGATTTGAGACGGTAGTTTTTGAGAAAATCTTTTAAAAAAATTTGGGTCAACTCTCCCCGCGCACATTTTCGGAGGCCGTTGAAAGTGATGTAAGGTAAAAAGAGACTATTGGATTATTCAGGCACACAAAAGAGTGGGCGGAACTTCCATTGTTACCACTTTTTTGAAAATTGTTGGAGTAGTTTTCGAGAAAAACTAATTTTTTGAAAGAAAGCGACTTAAAAATAAAAATTAAAAAAAAACCCAATCCCATACATTTTCATGATACCTGTTTTAATCAAACGGGAATTAATGTGTTGAAGAACACCACTTTTTGCAAACAATTTTTAAGAAATTAACCAGTGCCAATATTTTTGATTTCATAGCGACTGCCTAATAGTTTTTGACTTTCTTAATTTAAATATCAATATTGCAGTGGAGCATCATGTTTTATTGAGTAACTCTCAAAATTTACATCGTATTTTTTTTAAAAAGAAGGATCATTTTTCACGGCGGTTAATTTTTTATGTCTACTTTGACGACTGTGTTGCGAACACAGATTTTTCTCTTGTCCAAAAACAGGTCAGAGATGCAACGGAGAAAAAAATTAGCCTCCGCTCGTTTTCCGAGATTTTTCTGCCAAGCCTGAAATTTCAATTAGCCTATAAGCACCAGCGGATTTAGGGGAGGGGCGTGGCGGACGTCCCCCTCAAGGGTTCGCCCCCTGCCGACCCAAAGGATCCCCTTTGTACCATTTTGAGTTTTTTTACTGACCCTAAAACTTTTCTAAAAGCGCCTTCGGCGCCAGAATATACTAATATGAGGGCGAAGATCCAGCCAAAAAAAACGCAATTTTTTGGTTACCATTTTCAAAAAAGTACCTATGAACGCCTTTTTTTGTTTTTTTTTTCAGAATTTTGCCTGCGGCGCAGAAAATATGGTCAAAATGGGGTCTTAATAATGATGTGAAAGAGCTCAGAAAATTAATTTAGTCGACCTAAAGAAAAAATCGACAAAATTTTTGAAATTTTTTGAAAGTCCGCCGGCCCTCCTCGAGTAAATCTTAGGTACGCTTCTGCCTATAATCCCAAAGGTGAAGTTATGAACCAACCTTTGAGCTAGTTAATTATACCTCAACATAAAAATAGTTACAGAAACATTTTTTTCATTTTTTTCAAACCCTTTTTGGAATAAGAAATAGGCAATATCAATAATTCATGCGTTTATTGTGACAACTATCTCATTTCCGTTTCTTTTTTTTATTTAACTTGTTACAGATGATTTAACACGCTTCTCATTCTTTGTTTGAAAATGTTGTAGTAGCACCGGCTTTGAATCATTTTTCTTATTCTGACCCTTGAAACTGTGGAGAAACTTTGTAATTTGGTGTTTTATTTAAAAAAATTTAGATTTATTCCAGAAAAATTTAGGTATTACACTTAACCTTTGCAAGAAATTGGAAAATACATCACATTGAAAATAATTTGACCGGTAATTTCAAACAGTGTTCTCAGTGTCGAGAAAAAACGTTTTGAATATTTTGTTATGTTTTGTTATTCAAAATTTGAGTATAAAAGCCAGCAAGCGGATTATAGAAGGATAATTTTTACTAAAGCAGAGAAAAATCGGTTTTAACCCAGCAAGAAAATATTCAATCTTTTCAAGCGCCTTGAGAAAATTTTTTTCTTTTTCTATTTCTGTAAAAAATGTGATTTTTTGAAATGAACTGTTGACAAGCATCCCTTGTTTTCTGTTGACAAAAACTAACCCGCCAAATCTGGATTTTTGGGTTCAATCGAAATTGCAGAGTGGTCAAACTCTCTCTCTTCATAAGCGGCTACGCACATTTCATTTTTGTAAGTAAAAAGCTATGATTCTCGGAAATGTCAACTACCTGATTTGTTGACCGTTATTTCGACTTTGCTCGATAACTATCCAGCCAAATCTGAGATTGTATATTTAATCAACCAAGCAGGTTGTTGGGGGCTCACCTATAAAATTTTCTACGCCAAGTTTTTAGAAAAAGATTTTTGATCTTCAAACCAGTGAATGTTTTGAAACTTTGACCGTTTTTTTGGAAACTTATTGTTTCTACTCAAAAAATACCATGCCAATTCTCAAATTAGGTGATCAATCTAGAAACCCTGTTTTTGGAATCTTCTTTTTTTTACCGGCCTTGACCTGATTTTAT